AACAGGGTGCCAGATTTTCCTTAGTCTTCTTTGTGGAGCCCACACACGATGGGCACAAAATATTTAAACCTAAAACCCCCAAGTGCTACAGCAAACAGAGGTGATTGGTAGAGCCACATAGAAGGCAGTGATATCTGGACAGCTGTTCTCTTCTTGCCCAAAGCTAGAGATCCCTGAAGTGCAGAGAGCCACATTATGAATATGGAACATATGGAACCAAGCAGTAGTGCAGAGAGAGAAAAGCCATTCCTTGAGGGACAGAAAACTACCAAAGGCGTTTAAGAAAATTCACTGTGAAGGATACAAACCTCCCAAGGGTCAAAATGTGACTTGTACAGAAGCAAATGGGGAAAAGGGGTAACCAGAATATAGAAGCATACTTGCTGAAAGTTCTGCCCCACCAGGTGTGAACTTGCAGACAGAGAGACTGAGAATTCTCTACAGATGGTGTGGGAGTTCTGACTCCCAGAGTGCCCTTCCTGGTCCAGCCTGGCTGGGATGCAGAACAGTGTGGGAAGTAGAAGAGAATCAGGAGACGACAGAGAATCTGGATCTGGAAAAAGACGCCAGTTGGCCTGGGTTGGAGGCGTTTCCACTGGCTACTCCCGGCAGTGGGTTTCACAAGTTCCCTGGTGAAGAGGGACTGGAAGTTATGACATAATCACACTCTGTATTCGTTGTAGTTTGTTGTATACCCAGTGATGATTAGGTCATCCACTCGGTGAACTGCGGGTATTTCATTCTAAGTGTGGATTCCATCATCTTACCTAATCCATCTGTTGTCCTCATGGAGTCCTGAGTAAGCTGATGACTGGGGGTTAAGATGCTGCAGCCTATAAGCAGCGCCCATGAATGAGTGGGCCTGGGCCAGGCGGTTCCCTCTGGCGTGGCCCATGCTGACTTTTCTTCTCATTGCATTTCGTTTCACCCAGAGTCTAATGAACCGGGAGGGCATGAGCATTGTTTTCCTTTGAAATCCCATTCATGCTAATGGTTAGAGGAGGGGAAGGCCCTTGGTAATGTGGAGCCTCCCCCACGTCTGTGGAAGGAGGGTGGAGGGAGGCATCTCTCTTCACCCGTGGATGACTGGCTTCGCCCATGACTCCCTCAGCCCTAGGACTGAACGCCGCTGGCAGGAGCTGCAAGAGAAGCAGTGTGTGCCATTCTCAAGGGGCGGGGCAGGGTGGTGGGGGGACGGTGGATCCTCACCTGAGAGGCTTCCTCTTCCATGAATAATTGAAGGATGTTGCAGGTCGGGGCCACCTCGGCCTGCTTGTAATCCCCTAACACACGGGTGAGGAAAGAGTGTCACCACACCCACTACTGAAACTTCAGGGATGGGCCCTGTGCTTTTAGAAAGCAGCGGGTGGGGAGCAGGAGTGAAAAAAACAAAATCCTTAGGTAAAAACTCGCCTGACTGGGTGTCAAAGCCAGACACAGTCCTTGTTCTGACTGTTGCACGGGGGGATCTTTACAGCCGCTTCTAACAGCGACTCACAGAGCCCCAGGCAGGAGACGAAGAGCAGCCCCACCTCCTCCCCATGGGTCCCCCCAGCTCTGAGCTCTGTTTGTTTAAGACACTTGACTTCTGTGAATGATTTTACTTGGGAACAGAGGAAGAAGAAAGGAGGACTGAGCTAATAAAAATATATAAAGTTTGAAGACAGAACAAAACAATTTGCATGCTTTATATAGTGGAGAAAGAAAGGGTTGAAAATAATTTGGGCTAAAATTGTGAATCAGCTGAAGGGAGAGAAGAGTTTTCATTAGAAGCTACAGACCTGGGCTTCCCTGGTGGCGCAGTGGTTTACAATCCACCTGCCAACGCAGGGGACATGGGTTCGAGCCCTGGTCCGGGAAGATCCCACATGCCACGGAGCAACTAAGCCCGTGCACCACAACTACTGAGCCTGCTCTCTAGAGCCCGTGAGCCACAGCTACTGAAGCCCGCGTGCCTAGAGCCTGTGCTCCACAACAAAGAGAAGCCACTGCAATGAGAAGCCCGTGCACCACAACGAAGAGTAGCCCCCACTTGCCACAATTAGTGAAAGCCCGCACAGCAACAAAGACCCAGTGCAACCAAAAATAAATAAATAAATAAATTTATTTTAAAAAGAGAGAGAGAGAGAGAGAGAGAGAAAACCCCAGGAAAGGTGGGGAAAGAAGGAGGGAAGGGAGTGTAGATCATCTCTGAAAAAAATGTCTGAAGGTCTTCATTTCTGCTTTTGTCAAAAATATGCTGTGGTCTGATTTTGTTAACTAATTCAGTGCAGTTCTGCTCTATGCATTTCAGCAAAACACTGACTCCTCTGTGACCTTCTCTGAGGTCTCTGTAATGAGGCCCTGGCAGTGCAGTGGGCAGTGATTTGAGGTCTCCTGTAAAATGTCTTGTGATGTGACACATTGCATAAACAGTGGAGTGCACCCTTGTGTCTGGTTTTCACCTCTCTGGAGAGTCAGCTCCCGGATTCATCTTTCCAATTGTTCTGAGGAGCCTGCAAGAGGGCCTGCTGTCCTGAGTTGATCTCCCAAAGCTCACACCCCTGACTTTGTTCTCTGACCCAGAGGGCAATGAACTCTGCATTCGTCATGGTGCTGCCAATGGATGCCCCATCTGTCCCAGGGCCAGATCTCAGGCTGAGGATGATTCAGTGTGGTACCAGCGTTCAAAGGAAAGGTTTTGGAGACCTGGTTCAAACCTAGGGTGAACAAGCTTCCTGGTTTTCCCAGAACTGTCCTGGTTTTAGCACTGAGAGTCCCATGTCCCAGAAAACCCCCTAGTCCTGTGCAGACTGGGATGGTTGGTCACCCTATCCTAGTTCTCTCACTTCATAGCCGGTAATTTAAACTCTTTGAACCTTAGTTTCCCCATAGGTGAAATGAGGATAATGATAACAATATATGGTATTAGAGGACTAGGGTTGATATCCATCCATAGATTGTTCAGGAAGAAAAGAGGATTGGGTGACAAAAATTATGTCTTTCTGCCTCTGTTCCAAGGAGGAGTAGATGTCTCCTCTCCCCAAGTGTTTTTACTTTTCCCAGTGTAGGTGTGAGGACAGCACTTGAAGATTCTGGAACCATCCTCAGAAAGCCTTGCAGGCCCTGGCTAATGCAGAAGGGTGGATTAAGGGCTCTCCCAGCCCTATGATTATCTGATTAAGTGATGGCAGAAGCAGATGCCTGCTTGCAGAAGTCACTTTTAGAGCTACCACTTGGGAGTCACAAATAAGGGATTATGAAGCCTTTTCTTTTCAGTTTCTTTGCTGCCCCTTGACTATCGTCTGCAAAGATTCTAAACTAATAGTCATGTTCTTTTGTTCTTTTTTTTTTTTTTTTTTCTGAATGACTGTCTCCCAGTAAGTACTGTTTCAGGGCCGAAAAAGGAAAAGAAGTCAATGTTTTCAAAGGACACCCTTGCAAGGCATTTGCAGCACAAGGGTGGATTTCACAAGCATCGTAATCCCTGGCAGTGATGGCTGAGGGCTGTCTTGGAGACCAGAAGCATCGGAGCAAGAACTCAGATAACAAAAGAGAGGCGGAGGGGATTATTATTCAAATGCCCAGATAAAAGAAGGCCTTAATCAAAGACACCATAGAAAACAAGCCACAGGCTGATAGGGAGTATTTGGAACATGAAGGTGTCAAAGGGATTCAGGCTTTTTCTGAAAGGAAGGAAAAGACTGGGGGAAATGGTCCTTCATTAATTGAGCAGAGCTCTGTCAGTGCTGACGACAGGAGGGACCTCTTATTAGGAAGATGCCAAGGGCAGGGGACTATTCAAAGTGCAAACATCTTCACCACCCCAGGCCTCTCACCCCCATCGCAAATGAAGTAAGAATCATTAGAATTAGTGCCAGGTTCTGACTGAAAATAGAAGTCTTCAAACGTTGGAAAATTCAACATGCGAGACTCTGGCAGTGATAACAAACTAGTTTGTGTCCAAGGCAACTGATGGCACAATTTTGCATAATTAGGACACCTCTGGGAATAGAGAGAAAAAAGGGCTCTCCAATCAGGAATTTACTGATTTACATAAACATTTAGTGTGACCGGTGGTTTCAGAGCCTACGGTACCTCCTTCACATTTACGTTCTAAAGTAACGAAGGGGCAGAATGCCAAGGACAGCGACATTGCTGGCTTCGGGGGCACACAAAATGGCCCACCAGATTCTGGGGAAATCTGCAAAGTAGATGTTTCTAGGTTACCAGATCATATTTTCTCCTGTGCTTCCCACCCTTTTCTAAAGAAAATTAAATTCTGGAACAGTTAGTTTAAAAGTCAAGAAATTTGGGCTTCCCTGGTGGCTCAGCGGTTGAGAGTCCGCCTGCCGATGCAGGGGACACGGGTTCGTGCCCCGGTCCGGGAAGATCCCACATGCCGCAGAGCGGCTGGGCCCGTGAGCCATGGACGCTGAGCCTGCGCGTCTGGAGCCTGTGCTCCGCAACGGGAGAGGCCACAACAGTGAG